CCCTACTGTGGAAGCCAAGGCAATGATTAAAAGGTAGAAGAGTAGTGTCACTCCTTCCCATCACAGATCCTGAAGATTCCCCATCTTGGTGATCAAGAAGAGAGCACAACTTTTTTACCAGTATGATTACAAGAACCAGTCCATTTTCCAGAAGAAATCAAGGCTTACACAAGGACACTTTAGTTAAAAAAAGGGTTAAGCTTTCCAAACCAGGCAAATAATATGGAAATAGTTACACAACCTTCATAGGCTCCACTAATTCCTTTTTGGGACTAAACAGACATGTATTTATAATACACCCTAATTTTAAAAAAGCAAAACAAGCCCACAAAGAAAAGCCCCAGCCCCCACCCCCCAAACCAATGAATAAGAAACACATTTTCAGAAGCAAATCTCATCATATTTTATCTCCTTGTACAAAAGTATACCAGCCTCAATTTTTTTTAGTCCTGCCCCCAATCTCCTTCCCCTCACCCACGCCTTCTTTTCAAACCAAATGAGCCTGTCCCTGTGTCTATCCTCTGGAACAGGATTAAAGTTTCACACTGAGCCTGTTGCTGGGTTCACAGTAGCAGATGATCTGTTTGAAAGCTGTTCATTCAGCTCTGGGCAAGGCAAATTCGCCATGGAGTTTTCTTCAACCCATCATCTCCTTTAGCTTACAGGAGATTGAGAAAACCTTTCCTCAGCACTCAGTATAGCTCCCAGCAACTAACTTTTCTACAATACTTAATAAAGCATCATTTTCAAAGCTGTGCTTTGTAGACATCACATTTCTTGAATTCTTTAGATCTTGTTTGAGGGTAGGCAACGAACATATGTGTATATATATATATATAAATATATATACTCATGCACCAACTCAGATATAGGTGTTACAAAGAGTAATGGTAAATCAGAACTCTATCCCTTACCAAATACTTTAATGCAAATACTTTAACAGGTACAGAGCTTCTTTTAAATAGAATTTTAAAAGTTTTCCTATTGCTTTTTGCTAAGATCACTTGCTCTGCAAATTTTCAGCTTCTATTGAAAGACTGGCGTAGATTCTCTGCCAACACAACGTAGCAATAAGCAACAAAAGATTCACTTCAGTGTTAAGTATCAGGTTCATTTAATTAATTTAATAACATTTTCTGCTGGAAGCTATGTTACAGCTGCCAGATCCAGAAGATTGTTTCAAAACAGAATCCCTGTGGCCTGCATTTTTGTCATCCACTTGTAGTCCATATGCATTTACTCTTCAAGTCTTCTTTTGATGGCACTTGGCTTTAAGCAGATGCTCTCTGTGATTAAGGCTGGCCACATGCATGAGTCATGCCACTGCAGTGGATAACAAAAGCCTTGTCCCAATTACTTTGTAAGAAAAAAATGACACTTGGAAAATAGGTGTAAGCCAGGTAGGATCAAAAAGGTATGACATGATTCAGGACCATCTCTGTCAGTGATTTGATCAAAACCAGTAGATGTGAAAAGGGCATGATGGGACAGCTTCCAGCACCTGCTGCCTTTTAGAAAGAACAGCACACTCCATTTTTTCTCTCTAGGCTCATGTGTTGACAACCCAAGAAGAGTAAATTCCTTAAATGCTGGATACCTATCAATGTGGAGGGTTTTGTATCAGCTGAGCTACAGACCTAGTGCTTTGCATTCAGGCATTAATTGGTGTCATTGCTTCTCTGCAACCTAAAGGAGCTCCTCCTTCCTCAGAGCTGTGTGTTCGGCACTTTGCATTTTTGACTGACTCAAAAAAAGGACAATTAGATAGAAATGGTCCAACCTTGCATGTTCCTGCTTCAAATTACTTAACATAACTGTTCACGAGTCTTGCAAGAGCCAATTTAAGCTTGAGCTTCGGAGGTTTCCTGCTTTGAAGATCACTTTAACAACCCTGAAGTGCGTTCTTTATTATCCAGCATCCCTCCTTCTGTGGCAAAACTGAATGAAAGACCAGGGCACTGCTTTCTCAGAAAATTGCCAGGTTTGCTCTACCCATCCCCTCCAGTCCCCATCCTCTGCAAGCAGCCAGTAGTGCTGCCCACATTTCTCCTCTGCTGCCATTGTCTGCTCACCCAGGGCTGTGAGGACCAGGGAGCCCAACCAGCTCTGTGTCTCTGCTCCCTTGGGTGCCACTGGTGGGAACATACACCTTCCCAAGGGCAGTGGTGGAGAGCCAGGGTCTTCTTGGTGCCCTCCCAGAGCTGACCTTTAGGTTTGTATGACCTGCTCTGCACTGGCAGCTGAGATGCCATCTCGGGGCTTTGCAACTGCTGCAGGTCACCAATTCCTGGCTGGCATTCCCAACTCAGCACACATGTGTTGAGAAAGGCACCACTTGTTCCAACAGCCAGAAGTCCCCCAAGGGCTCTCTCCCCACCACTGCTTGCCCCACCACAGGCTGACCCTTTGACAGCTCTGAGCAGCACTGAGCCCTTGGCTCACAGGACTCTCCCAGAGGCAGATGCCACACTGGAACCTGGCCCTGCTGGCCCCTCTGCCTGAGCAAGAAGGACGCCAAGCCATGCCTTCAACACCTTAAGACAAGTCCAAATATGCAAAGATGGATTTTGGAGGCCACTGAGCTCTATTTCTAATCTGAGTTTTCAGCAAGACTGATGAGCTTCATGCTGCTCTGCAGAGTTCAGAGGGTACTGAACCAGTTGTGTTTGACAGAGGAGCCCAACTCCACTGCTCACTGTGGTTCTTTGATTTGCTTATGTAGCAATCAGTTTAAACCTGTGCTTTTTACTTACCTCAAGCAGAGTCTCAGAAATGCAAGCAGGCTGCACTAAGGCACAAAAAATGCAAGTAGAAGTTAAATAGTTCAGTGTTGTTTAACATGCATGAGTTAAATAAAAAGGCAGCTGCCTTACTGTGCAGGAGGATTCTAATGCAGTATCTGCAGGCCCTGAATTCCCCCAGAGCCCAGACAACAGAAATGCCTGTTGCAGCCAAACAGGCTTCCTGCAGCCATGCCAAGATGCTCTCTGATCAAAGTGCTATTGCAACCCTGGCTGCTGGTTTGGCCTCTGCCTTTCCACTGAGACCACCAGCAAGAAAGCAAATGGGTGTTCTGCACATTGCTATGAACAGCACAGGCAAGATAGAGGAAGAAAAAAAAACCAGACTGCAGCCTACCCTTGAAAGTTATGCAAGAAGAGAGGTACAAGATGAGCTTTTCCCACAGCAAGGGTTCCAGCTACGATTGCAAAACCTCAGCAGTCACGCAGGGACTCTTCCATGAGGTCTCCTAGGGTCACTATTCACTTCAAAGTCAGCAGAAAGGTGGCACAGCAAGGATCCTACTGCATTGGCACAACTGGCTGGCAGAGAGAATTGTCTGGGGAAAGCCAGAATGCTGCAGCCATCACTCCCAGCACTGTCTGAATTTACAGACTGGAATGCCATGAGGATCCATGGCTGGCTGTGTCACGGCTCACTGGGTGTATGGGCCCAACTTCCCATGAGGCTCATGCTGGTTTCTGGACTAGTGCTCAAGTTCAAGCATTTATTTTTTCATGCTTGTCCCTCTCTTCCCCCTTTCTTCCCAAACCTGGGTTTTACCACCTGGCTAAAAAATGGCTCACACCAAGCTCAAGCCAGAGTGGGACCCAACATACATAGACAGCATGCCCATGTGGGGAGACCTTTTGTGATAGACTGAGATAAGCTCAGGTACAATATTGACCAGAGTACTTACCTTTAAGATTCTCTTTGCAGCAATTTTTTTTTCTGAAAACCAACTAATCTCTTTCTAAAATTCTCCAGTCATAGAAACTGACTGCAAACATTTGTAAAATTTACCTTCTTTGTTAACCTATGGTGTATTATTTGAAATTAAAATTTAGCCATATTTTCAAGCCCATCTGGTGGAATTTGTTAGATTGAAGCCTCCAGTAACTGTAGCCCTGTAGAAACCATGTGTCTTGTCTAGACTAGTTACCCAGTTTCTATCTACAGAGAAATATGCACTTCCTAACACAGCAATCCATTCAAGAAGGATCATCTCTGTGAGGGCAACCCTCTTTCCATTGACCATGAAAGAAATTTGGTCAGCTTAGACTAAAGGACTACACTTTACATACCTAACAACAAGTGAGACAAGTCTCTTTCCTCATTGAAGATTTGTTATTAAGTTCCTTTTACCATGTAGACCTTTCCCACAATATAAACTCATAATTTAATATTACTTTCACACAGATTGCAGGCTCTAATATATCAAGACTAATTTCTAACAGCCATTAAGCAACCAGAAATGAAATTACTTTAAGAACACTTGAGATTAATTTCCTTACACTCTTTATGACATTCATTCAAGGTTCATGTTCTTTGTTTCCTCTTGCAATAATTTAAGAGACAAACCACTGCTGGGAACAGTATGTGTCCCTCCACCCCCTCCAGCTGACAAAAATTGGCAGAGTTCAAGAGAAATCTCAGCGAATGGGAGAGAAAAAAATTCACAAAGAGCAATCACTACAGATATTGAGATTTATTGCTGATTTTCCCTTTCTGAAAGGCTGTCAAACTGCCACAGTTCCAGAAGGGGATTATGTCCACAAGCCCTTTGGCCTCAGTCCCTGTGCCAGTTCAGACAACATGACTAGAGACCTGTGTGTGGCAGCTTGCTGCTTACAGAACAGTTGGAGGCAAAATCCATCCTTCCAAATCCTGAATTTATACATTGTTTGGTATGACCTGCTGTCAGCTTCAAATAAAAAAAAAGACACTGGGGGCATCCAGTGGGGAATGCTGCTTTTCCTGAGTTTAGCTCCCTGTGCAAGAAGCTGCTACTGAGTGATGCTCACACAGAGCCATCAGCATGATACAGTGCAGTTTTTTCTTTACCACATCAATCTGATATAGTTGGTCTTGTGCTTTGAGGCAAAGGCTCCTTGTCATCTCTGCCAACTATGCTGCTCCCTTACCAGCACTATTAATAGCATAGGTTCTTTTCTTAATTAAAAAAAAAAAAAAAACAAAAAACAAAAACCCATCCCTTTCCTCATGTTTGGTTGCACTTCTTCATTCCTGCTGCCACTTTTTTCATGATAGTGTCTCTAGGCTGCAAGTCAGCTCGGTTCCAACTGGTGAGATCTGGTTCCTCTTTATGTGCCTGTCCTTTCAGTGTAAACAAGCAGTGCTTCTCCAACTCCACCAACCACAAGGCTGTAAACAAAGTATATCACAAATTTAGCATCATGCAAGTCCTTCTACTTGATACAAAAAGGTATTATTTTATCTAAACACATTCCAACCTAGAGACAGTAACCCAGGTGATTTTTTCATTTGTCTTGCTAAGAAAATGCTGGAACGAAAATATCTTATTTAAATGATCTCATCAGAAATTACCTTTCCTGTGTTTTTGGGCTGGTGCTGTTCAGTAAAAATGCATAGACAGCAATCTAAATGGAGAAGGTTGCCCCTAGTTACAACAATAGCTGCACACCCCTACACTAGCAAGAATAGAAAAGGAAGGCAAGAGAGTTTGAACCTTATTAGCCTATTGATTCCCTCTTGCAATTTCTGTTTGTGTTCTGTCCTGAAAACTTGCCACTTCACAACATCAGGAGGAGATGTAAAGCCTAGGTTTTGTGGACAAGGTGAAATCTGGGAAAACCTTTTTGTGCTGGGGTGATCCCATTGGCACAGTGAGGTCGGTAGAAATTCCTGTGTTTGCCTCTCTTGGTGAGGTGAAAGGAGCTGCCCCAGCCTAAAAGGTACCTGTGCCCAAGCCCTTCTTTCCTGTGCTGCTCACAGCACAGCTGTGGCATTAAGGCTGCTCCCCAAGAGTCAGCCTAGGAGCAGGGCTCCAAGTCAGGATGAATGGTTTTACAAAAACCTTTCCTTAAATATGCTATGAACCCACTCAATGCATGCAATAGTTAATAATCCCCAAGTCTCCTCTGTTATCTCTCACAGCTGACAGGAATATGGTAAGATGCCGACTCTTCTCTCCTTTTAGAGCAGTGAAAAGCTAAGTGTACTGACCTTTCATCTTAGCTCCATGGCTTAATTAGCTTATGAAACAGAAAAGCTCCTTGCTGAACTTTATAAACAAAACAAACTTCTGTTAAGTTCATTTCTAAGGGTACTTTTTTTTTTTCCTTGGAAAAAAAAAAGCATGTAAAGCTGAAGGCTCTTTGGTCTAATAGCATTACATTCACTTAAATCTTAGCTTTGGTGAGCTGTTTTAAAAACCACATAATTGCCCTTGTTCCTGAGAGGAAAAAAATATTGTATAACAACAGCACAATATCTTACAATTCCACAGTAAACAGCCTGGAAAGTAGGTGCTACAGAAAGTCTGTGAAGGTCCACTGGGAAGACAGAATAGCTTTGGTGTGGAATTACCAAGAAGGAGCTGCAAGGGCTGCAAGCTTTTCAAAAAGGGTCTAAACCACTGAGTCTGGCCACCTGCAGTTGGTAACAACATCTGAGTGGTTTTTTTTCTGGAGAGGGTTAACCCCCATGTCTTATTTCAGCTCCGGTTATAAACACGCCTTATGCATTAACTCCTTTGGAATCTATGGTTGGATAATATACCCTTAATCCTAAAGGAAAAAATTCCAAAACATTACATACAGAAGACCTTAGAATTTTTTTTCCTGTTTCTATAGTTGTGTTGTTTTCTAAATTTTTAACAGAGATTAAAAAATAAATCTGTCTCTGACATACCATTTAAAAAATGAGACTGGCAATTATGTACAAAAGATAATAAACTGCCCAGCCTTGTTCTGTAAAAAGATACCTGTACCAGAGTTGTTCTTTAATATCATATTTCTTACATCAGAGAAGAAGAATCCCTTTCTGAAGGACTTGAAATCTTGGGATCCATGTGCCCATGCAGTCCAAATAACTAGGCAAATGGAAACCATTGTTATATCTTTAAGATGAAGCAGAGCAAAAATCATGGCTAAATGCCAGCCCTTGATTTTACCTTCATTTTCCCATGTGGCAAATCCTCCAGCTTCTGTTTATAGTGGGGTGACAGATAACTGCACTTGCCCATAGCTCAAAAATTAACATATGATATTGTCCATGACCACACTGGAGCAGCACTAAAATCCTCAGTGATTAATGTTCTCATGAGTACTTTGCAGCTGCTATCATCCAGCAAACTATTTCCAGAGCTTTGCTGCTAAGTCAAGGCACTGCCAATGCACAAGCACTAACAGAATTAAAATTTAAAAAATAAATAAATAAAAGAAATTGTTTTCTTTTTTAATTATGACAATCAAAATGTAACAGTGGCCCAAGGGCTAAAGCAAATTTTCTTGTAAACATACAGATGTGTTCATAATTTATAGAAGTTTCAGTCCATATAGGGCAGGTGGCATGTGTGCAGCTACATGGGTCTGTGTGCTCACATTAACAAAGGTGCACATTAATAAAGGTACACATTAAGTTTTAGTGCACATGTCAGTGAAATACAGATATATAATCAAAGCCTGCTTCTAGCACACACGTGACAGACCTGCACAAACACATGCAAAACATGGTGAAGAACAGCAAGTTAATGGCCTGGACTAGGAGTGTTTTGTAGTTGCTTTGACATTGGTCAAGTCTCTAACATGCACAGGCAGCATGTATTTCCTAGAGCTAAAAAAAAGCACTACTTACTTTAGCATTTGAGACTACATGTGCCTAAAATACAGATAGGAATCCATATCAACACATAAGTAAATGGGGCCAGTCTGAACTGGAGATTCTCCTTTCTATAAGGCTCTTATCACACCTGAAGAAAGGATATGCTAATTCCATTCAGTGCAGAGCTGAATCTTTAGGATAGCAATCAAACCAAATGAATCATGAATCAAGTAGAAAGAAAGAAGCTTAGAGCTTTTCAAAAGTAAGTAGATTTTTATTTCCATTAACAAATCTGTCCTCAGAGACACATGCCTAACCCCATATTGAGAAGTTATTTGCACGGCAGAAGCATTTAGGAGCACCAGCCATGCTCTGTGATTCCCTTTCACTGTGTGCTACACAAACACTGATCAAAAACACTGCCTTGGACCAAAGGAGTTTGTGCCCCAATCCTTTATATTACTACCCCAAAAAGTCAGGTTAGGTGATTTGTACTATGTGGCCACACTTTACAAAATCCAGATACAGCTCTGGAAAAAGTTTATTATCATTATTTTTCTCCAGTTTAATTTTATGCATTCCCAGTGCACAGTGTGTTAGGGAAACTTGAATGCACCCTCTTGGTTAAAAAGATACTGTCAGCAAACCTTGACTCCTGTGTTTTACTTCCAGTTCCACCACTAAATTGCAGCATGACTTTGAATGGGTCATTTATTTGCCTATTGGATCCATTTGCCTCACTGTAAAATGTGCTGAGTGAATTGTGGTGAGGCTTAATGTCTAAAATGTCCATGTTCTCCCACAGAGGTAGAAAAAACACTTTTCTATTACTGTACTGCATCCATCATTGCACACCTGGTTCTCCTTACATGCAAAATAATACTGACAGCAATAGAACTTGACATTTAAAAATATTTCCACATGAAGCGCTGTGTGAAAATTCATCTTTACTGTTAAACAAAAAGCTCATGTAGGCACTTACCAAGAAATTGTTAGTACATTGGCAGTCATGACAAAGAAGAATGGTGATAAGCTAGCAGTGATAACCTGTTAAATTGAAAAGAAGGAAAAAACACTTTGTGAACTTGTGATATCACAAATGAAAACTAAAATACTTTTGCTGAAATTCAATTTCCATGTGTGCAGTCATATCTTCATCTTTCAGTTGAAGATAGCATGATAGTCACACATCACAATGCAATTTTGACTCTGGCAGAATCCAGGACAGAGCAGAGGCAGGGCAGGGAACCAGAGCAGGGGATCCCTTGTCACATATCCCAGCTGGCCTGGCCTAGGAGCCTGCTGGCTTTTACTTGTTGACAGCAGACTGGGGAGAGCAGTCGGATCCCAGGTTTGGAAAGCCTTATATTTCTGAGAATGAGAGTTTGAAATGTGTTTAAATGTGTATAAAAACAAACCAAAAATTAACAGGGTACAGAGTTAAGAAAAACAACACAACTTCAGTAGGTTTATGTTACAAGTCTCTCGTTACCCCCAGGTGTTCTGGGCAGAGAAATTAAAGACAAATAACTCTGCTTTCCAAGTCCTGATCCCAGAAACAGCTAAATCCTGACGTACAATGGTTTGTAACAGATCCCTGCCTCAGCAGCTACGGAGCCACCACATCTGCAGCCTGCGTGCAGTTTTGGATGTTTTGCTGCCAGATGGATAATGTAAAATGGAAAGAGTTCAAAGAACAGTGACAGAGTCATTAGATGGGGGGATTGATTTTCAGTCAACAGTTAGGATAAGCAATGCCTGTGGGAAAGGAAGACTTGGTAGTGGTTTACAAAAACTTGAGAAACACAAGCGCTGAGGAATGAAAGGAACTATTTAGGTTAATAAAAAATTGCCCAAGGAAAAAAAATGAAATTAAGAAACAAAACATTTAAACAATTATCAGCTAAGATTTCCTAATCATTGTTTTCCTAGTTGACTCCCAGGGGAGACAGCAGAAACTTCATTCTGTAATCTAATACTTGTTAAAGCATTACTACATGTGCAGTAGGGAAAGTAGGGAAGCAAATGCCATTTTAGAGTAGATTCTGTGCACCAGAGCTTGGACTAACAGTCTGTATACCTGCTACAGTTGTTATGGTCACATTTTAAAAGGCAGGGTCTGAATCTGCCTGGAGTGTAATCAGGGCAGGATCACAGGCAGGAGTGGCAGGTGAAGAAGAGAATGTTGTGTGTCCTCTCTCTGGAGTCCCATTCTATGAGTTAGGTGGAGAGGGGACAACAATCTAAATGCAGCAGAGAGACCATGCAGTGCCACAGGAGCAAAGGTGTTCAGTAGGGACTACACAAGGCGTGCCTCCTCTGGCCTCTTTGGGGATGTTTTCTACTTTAGGGACATTCAGGTGTGCTGGTGGCTTTTTGCTTCCTAGATATTACCATAACTCACACCTTGACTGTTCTCCATGTGCCTGTAGCCCAGGCCCCTGTTAGAGGAAATTAGGCAGGAGATGGACTTGATCCAGACAGGATAACACATGACTGCAGGGCCACTCCATCCCTGCTCAGCAACCAAATTGCTGGTACCAATACAGCCACAGACACACCTCCTGATACAAACTTCACCCGACTTCAGCATTTTCACACTTCCAGCCACAGAAGTGTACAGCACAGGCAATGCTGTATAGCTCCAAGGCAACAGAAAAAGTGAGCTCCTACTGCTAGGGAAAATCAAGGATAATGTATCTACTCCTATAGCTTTGTATCTATACATGTAAGCAAACATACAGCTTAACATGCATACTCAAAAGAGACTGACAGAGGACAAGGACAAGTCACAAACAGAGAGTTATGCTTCAAAACTCAAGATCATATTGCAAATGTGCACATTCAATAGTCTGTCTCACAGTTATATGCAGCCAGAGAGAGCTGATACCTACTCCAAACAGTAGAAGTTAACTATTCAGGAGCTGAATCTTTCATGCACTTTATCTAAAATCCAGCTGCAAGGCTGAATATCCATTAGCTCAAAACCAGTGTTCTAAATAAGTTTGCATCTTGTTCTAGTGGGCTGGGTTCTCCCCTTACAAAGAGTGCAGCAGATGCACTGACCTACAAGGAACCATTTCTCATTTACTCTGGTGTGAATGCTTGTGGAATTAACTGTACTGAGCTTATTTTAGGTTAATGCTAACTTATTACATAAAAATATACAATACCAATTACTGACCATGTAAACAGAAACTAACAAAGGATGGCAGCTGTGGTACGCACAGAGCGTTCTTTTCCTAAAGCTCATCTCCTCAAAGAAACTGAAGTGCTGTGTTTGAGAAGTGGCACAAGCTAAAGTTGTGTCACCCACTCCCTTGTTGAGCCCTGTTTATTAGAAACTTGAGAAGAGGCCAAGGGCAGAGAAACAGGCATTCAAGAAACCTCCGAAAACAGGCCCTATCAGAAACAATACACCATTCTACTGTGATCATCCCAAACCTCTGCAAAAATGCAGGCTGTAGCCTTTTGGACTACTAGAGCTGAACACTGTTGTATTTTTGAGAAGTTATGTAAGAGTGTCTCAGTGCCAAAGACAAACAAAATGTGGGTTGGAAGAGCGCATGAAGTAAGTGTGTGTAAGGAAAGAAAAAACAAATCACAAACAAACCAAAAGGAAAAGACGTTGCTAAAATGTCTACCTTTGATGATTTATCTAAAAGAAAAATACGTTTAAAAGTGAAAAACAAGTTTTCAGAGAAGCTAACAATGTCATTTGCTCCAGAAGAAGAATCTAAATCCTAGGGACATAGTAGAGAAGGTAATTTTCCTTTAAGTACATTTCAGTATTATCTGAAGTGTTTTAAGTGCACATTTAGTTTGAAAAAAACCCCACCTACACTGATGTTCTGAATGGCCTTTAAAAAAAAAAAAGAAAAACCAACAAAATAAATTCACAACAAGCTAAGTGCAGTAATCTTTCTTTCTTCACTTTAAAGGTCACAGTTGTCCTCCTAGGCATTTAGATGCTTTAGTAAAAGGAATGAGCTTTCAAGACAAAAGAAAGCAAGTTAAAGGGCAAACTAAAGTTAATGATTTCCAAATATATTTTGATGCTGAATCTGTGAAACTAAGAGGTGGAAAGGAAAATTTTAATTAGCTATAATATAACTATTTTGAACAAAACTCCCCAAGATTTTGACATACAGTCACTAATTCTATCATATTGTACAGACTGGATGGTTGAACACCAACTATTTTGGAAACAGGAATAGCTCCATGGACTCTGCCTACTTTTAAAGGAACTGTGACCAGTCAGTATTACGAAAGCTACTTTAAAAACATTCATACCCAGAAATTTTCTTACAAAATTCTGACACAGCTTTTGATGATTAGGAAAAAAATTCAAGCGTAGCATAATTTAACAAAACATTTCCATCTGAGCTGAAATTTTTCCTAAGAAATCATTTCAAACCCTTACTTGCATGAAAAATCAAATCAAAACAAAACAACCTCCCCTCAAGATTGTTACTTAAAATAAATCAGTCTAAGTTTATTCTGTCATTCCATTGTACTGCAAAAATAAGACCCATTTTAAAGGAACACTTTATTAACACCTATTTGTCTTGGTTCCAGCTATTTCTGTAGTTCAAATCTGAGTTTGATATAACTCAGAGAATAACTGAGTTATTCACAAATCATTTTACATTTAACCAAAAACCTTGGCATTTCAAGTTGTGCTTTGTACCTCAACCAAAACCAGTTCTAGTTCTTTACAATACGTATCAGCATTGCAGGAAATAAGTGTATCCTTGTAATGGATACTTCTCTGGGATTAGGTCTGAGGAGAGTGCATTGATCCCTTCCACACAAGAGATTGGGCCTAAATAGTCAGGGAACAAAACACATAAATACTCCAATATTCTTCACATAAATACTCTAGTACAAGGGATCAGATCCTGTTTCTCCTGGAACAGAAACCCGGAGAAAAAACAGAGCAACTCAGCCAGTTAGAGGTTTCAAACTTACTGGTTACAGGAGATCCCCAAATTCAGGTCCCCATATAAAAGGTGAAAACTTCAGGTGTTCCCATTATTCTGGGAAACAGAGAAGGGCTCAGGTGCCATAAAACATTCCACACATTGCTTACATTGCCATTTACGTTTAACAGGCTCCTATCAAGGACAACACAGCACTCAACCTCAGGATCCAAAGAAATTAATTCAATTCCAGAGCTCTAGAGTTTGCCCCTTACCAGGCTGAATTAGTGGCAACTAGAAAAACAATGGCATCATTGAAATGGTGGGTAACAGACTAAGATCCATGAAGCAGAAATATCCCAATGTGTGGAAGAACTGGTTGCACAGTAGGGATAAATTCAGCACATAAAATCACTTCTGCACAGGAAAATAGTAGGCATAGTAGGCATAGGAATAAATATGGTCCAATGCACCCACGTTTTCTAAATCTGCTTTAGTGATTCCTGAGTGGAGAGAGGCACAACTGCCACTAGCTTTAAAGGGTTCCCAAGGAACTTTGACAGACAGATCACTGCACAACTCATGATGTGAATGACTTCCTCCTTTCACCCTATCACTTCGGTCAGATAAGAAAAAATTTCCAAAGAGAAAGTAAAATTTGTCTCAAAGAGTTGTTTTAAGAAAATATGAGAGGAAATGGAATTTATTTTGGAATAAGAGATTAGTTTACAGATAACAAAATAAAAAATAAAGATTGGAGAATTTCTTGCCGTAGACATTAAGAACAAGTAAGATAATTATTGAGCCAGCTTCCCTCTTAGATGTTTTTCTTGAACATATAACATCAGAAAACTCTGATAAGTCTGATATGTGGCTTGAAGACAGGAGATGGCACCCTAAGTGTCCCTGGTCCTTGGCAATGCACAAATTTGGATCCTGGGAGATAAAGGAATGTGGAACTCTGCATTCTTTGCTGCCTTGAGTTCTCCTCTGACCAGCTGTGGTTATACCACAGACTCTGGAGTGTCCAGTTTCGATTGGTTCAAACCAGACATCATTGCCAGATAAAAGTGTCATTCTTGACCAAGCTATTGTGGATCCCCTTCAGCCCTGACTTTACAATCA